GCGAAATCCTCTCCAAAAAAAAAAAAAAATCAACTCATCAAGTTCCATGAGAAACCCAGAAATCTCACTGAATACATAAGTCTATTTGGAGAAAATCCATACTTTTAGGACAGGAAGCTTTTTCTAACCACATATGGTATTTCATTTGGGCTTTCTATAATGGCTTTCAGTGAGACTGGAGCATTTTCTCCATGAAAGTCTTACATATCTTCCATTAAATTTATCTCAGGTACTTTAGAGTACTTTTTCCTACTGTAAATTATACCTTTAGAAAATCACGTTTTCTAACTATTTATCACCAGAGTACTGAAATGTGGTTGGTTTTTGCTTGTCTACCTTACTAGCCACATTAATAAACTGACTTGTCTTTTTAATTTGTACTTTTCATTTTAATTCATTCTTCGGGCATTTGTAATTGTCTGCGAAGCTTGCGGTATTTTCTTCTTCTTACCTCCTTTCCTTTTCTTAGGGGCTACAACTCCTGCACAACATTGAAGAGATGCGGTTAGAGTAGCATCCCTACCGTGCTCCTGGCCTTAAAGGGAAGGTTGTCCCATTGTCACTGTAAGACACGATGTTTGCTGTGGGCGTTTGCTTACTTTTTATCAACTATCTACCCCCCCCAATAGCTTTATCTGTAATGATATTTCTTTTTACTTTCCCAATATAATTTTTCCTTGGTCAACCTCACCAGAGATTTGTCTGTTTTATTAGTGCATTTCAAAAGCCAACTTTTGGCTTTGTCAATTTACTTGCTTCTATATTTCACAGATTTCTGCCTTCTTTATTGTCTTTATTTGCGGAGGTTACATTATATTTCCTTTTCCTTAATTTTTAGGTTTTCTTTTCTTTTTCTAATGTATTTAAGGCAAAGTTTCAGAAACAATATTTAATTTTCCCCCCCTTCATGATAGAGCATGTGCGTTTACACATGACAGAGAGACAAATAAGCACCCATCACAGGATCTGGTCATGCCATGGTCACCTTCCTCCAGTTCCTCAAATCTAAGGTGCCCAGCATATTTCCAGGTTGACCAGGCCGGGGATTTGAACTGCAGTCACCACGTGAGATCGGCTTCTCTTCAGCCGCTAATCGCATGGCGCCAAGCTTGAACACAGTGTTGGAAGTATCACTCGGTTCTAAGTGTTATTATCTTATCTCTGTTATTAATTATCCTATGACTTGAGATTTATTGACAAGTCTGGTTTCTAAATTTTCAAATGAATGGAACTTTTAAAAAATGTACTTTAGGGGCCAGCAGGTGGCATAGTGGCTAAGGTGCTGGACTTCCACATGTCTGACCGTGGTTTAAGTCCTGGACCCGGCGTCTTAAAAGTCACGCCAGGCATGTGTGCGTGCATGCCCAAAATCCCAAGAGGAGAATGGAGGAGAAGGGACTGTACTGTGGCCACCCGCCTGGGGGATGATTTCTCACTTTCTCTCTGTCTCTCCCTTGAGCACATGTGGCCTATAGCAAAAATCTCTCAAAAACAAAACAAAACAAAACAAAAACAGAAAATGTACTTTACATTAGCAATCTTTACCCTATAGTACTGCAAAAGAGTACGCTACCAGGGTCAGCAGATGGTGTAGTGGTTAAGGTACTGACCGTGGTTCAAGTCCTGGACCGGATGGCTTGAAAATCACGCAAGGTGCATGTGCATGCATACCCAAACTCCTGAGAGGGGAATGGAGGATAAGGGATTGTGGTGTGGCCATACCCCCTGGTGGGAGTGGGAGAGGTTCTCACTTTCTCTCTCTCTGTCTAGAGAATGGACGTGCCCTATAGCAAAAATCTCTCTCTCTCTCTCTCTCTAAAAAAAAAAAAAAAAAAAAGTGCTACCATACTATATATTATCTAACCATTAACATGTGTCCAAACTTGCTTTGTGGCCAATTACATGGCCTACCATTCATAGCCCACGTGGGCTTTGCTCAAGGACATGTAAATTCTTATGATCGGGGTTCAGAATTCTATTTATGTCTGCTAGACCGAGCTTGTTAACTTGTGGTAAAAAAAAAAAAATCTGTTTCACTACCAGTTTTTTTTAAATCTGACTGATCTATTAACTGAGAAAAGAGTTGACATCTCTGATGATGGTGGTGGCTTTTCCTAGGCCTCCTTGTATTTCTCTCAGTTGTTGCTTACTCCATATTGAGGCCGTTATTAGAGGTACACAAGTTTTGGAACAGCTTCTCGGTGAGGTGAATTTTATTATCTTCAGATTGTGGTCCTCTGTTGATAATAATGCTTTTGCCTAGTGAGCTATTTTGCCTGCTGATACCTCCCCCTCACTCTCTTTTGGTTAGTCTGTGACATGCTTAGGTATAAGCACCGCGTGTGCAAAACTAGTCCTTGCCGATGCCTGACTTCTCATGAGCTCAGCAATGTTTTACCATGTATAAGTTACCCACGATCCGGCTGTATTTTTTATTTATTTATTTTTTGGAGAGGTTTTTGCTATAGGGCGCGTGCGCTCGTCAGAGAGACAGAGAGAGACAGAGAGACAGAAAGCGAGAAATCACCCCACAGGAGGGATGGCCATGCTGGTGGCCCTTCGCTACCATTCTTGTCTCAGGATCTTGGGCACGCACGCACACGTGCCCGTTGTGAGTTTCAGCCACCAGCTCCGGGACGCGAACCGCAGCCGACTACGTGGGAGTCCAGCGATGTAGCCATTATGCCAACCGCTGGTCCCGAATCCAGCTGTTTTTTAAGAGGAAGGTTGGACAGACGTCCGTGTCATCACTGTGAATACACAATCCTGTGTGTGCACACTGGGGCAGTGGAAACCTGTATGTGTGCACCTTGCTCTACGCACACGCCCACATGTGTGTTTGGTGTGCACATCCCTCCGCTCTTTCTCTGCTTCCTCCTCTCCTGGCAGCCTCGCAGGACGTATTTCCCAGTCAGAGTGGGCGCTGGCTGTTGGGCCAGGGACTGCTGGGGAGAGCACAGGGCAGCCCCTCCTCACTGGGCCACCCTGCCCCATCCGTCTCCTCCACAGCTCTGCCCCCAAGGGCTGCACGTCCTTCAGCATCACTGCCTCCCCCGAAGTAGCTGTGAACGTTGCTCACTGCCGTCCCACCAAGAAGAATCCCACGGGTTCCTGCAAATGGCCCCTGGCCCCGGAGCTAGAGGTGACCGTGAGGATGAAGGCTGCCAGCAGCAGCTCAGGGGACCAGAAGGTGAGTGTGCGAGCTGTGGGGCGGCAGTGCGGAAGGGTGCCAGCAGGCTGCAGCCACTCCGGTCTTCCTGTGTTGCTTCACAGCAGCAGCCTGGCAGGGCCGCCCTCCCTCCGGCAAAGCTCACGATGGCTCCTCCAGCCGCAGCCTCCCTGCCTCAGTCCACTCCCCAGAGCCAGTCCATCGCGTCTGCAGCCAGTGAGCGTTTTCTAAACGCACCGCAGTCCTGTTCCCCTGGCCACAACTTTGCTTCCTGTTGCCCTCAAAAAATGAGGGCTCTCTCGTGGGCAATAACTTGCAAAGGGGGGGTTCATAAAGGTTATGGAAATGCATATTAAAAGCCGCAGCCTCCCTGCCTCAGTCCACTCCCCAGAGCCAGTCCATCGCGTCTGCAGCCAGTGAGCGTTTTCTAAACGCACCGCAGTCCTGTTCCCCTGGCCACAACTTTGCTTCCTGTTGCCCTCAAAAAATGAGGGCTCTCTCGTGGGCAATAACTTGCAAAGGGGGGGTTCATAAAGGTTATGGAAATGCATATTAAAAGAACTGTATATGCATTTCAAAGTTTTGGCACCAAGATAAACTTGTACATTAATTTTGTTTTTCCATAAATTTTTTAAAGAATTTTTAAATTTAGTTTTATTTATTTAATTTGACCAGAGAGAGAGAGAGAGAGAGAGAGAGAGAAAGAAAGTGAGAAAGCAAGCTGCCATGTCTAGGACTTGAACCGTGGTGAGCCATGTGGGAGTCAAGCACTCTTAACCACCACACCACCTGCCAGCCCCCCATAAGCTTTTTTGAAGCATAGGTTCATTCAGCAAATGTTTAACGAGCACGTAATACACACCAGGCATGGCTGGGCCCTGGGATACAGAATAACACCGCGGAGGAGGCCGCATCCCTGGGCCAGCGGACTTACAGCCCTTAGTGGGGTGTCAGATAACAGACATAAACAAACGGCAGGTGCACAGGGCAGTGAGTCCTAGAAGGCCACCCACAGCAGCCCCTGGGAGCTCGCTCCTTGGCCCCGCCCAAGTTTCCCATGGCTGCTGAAGCCACTTACCTACTGGTAGCTTGAAACAGCAGGGACGTGTCCTCTCCACGTTCTGGAGGACAGAAGTCTGTGGCCAGAGATGGGCAGGGTCACTGTCCGGAGGCTCTGGGGAGCATCAATTCTCTGCCCCTCCCAGCTTCTGACTGCCGGCTGCTGCCAGGACTCACGGCTGCGTTGCTCCACTCACCATCTCCCTGGTCACGTGGCCTCCTCTCCTGCTCTGCGTACTCTGCTCGGCCTCCCGAATAAGGACACTCGGCACTAGGCTTAGCGCCCACCTCAATAATCCAGGCTGATCTTCATCACGAGATCCCTAATTTAGTTACATCCGCCAAGACCCCCATTTCTCAAATGGAGTCATAGCCACGGGTTCTGGGAATTAGGACGTGAACTTACCTTTCAGGGACCACCATTCAACCCCCTGTTCCCCCTTTGCCTGTAGATGGGCCCACCAGGACTCCCTGGGGTTCCCACAGAGATCTGGGCCAACAGCCACTTGCCCCAGCAGAACAGGCCCAGCCCGCTCCTCTCTGGGGGCGGGAGCCTGTTGGCCACTGTCCAAACACAGAGCTTGAGTATCCATGCAGGCAGTCAGGGAAGACATCCGGAAGAAGTGGCAAGCTAAAGATGGTATGAATGACCTGCCTAAGAGGACAAGAGGAGAGGGAGTGCTGGAGGGGGGTGTGAGGGGCTGTGCACACTCCGGGTGAGAAGAGGGTGGGGTACATGTTGGGTAAACTGAGGAAGAAAGGAGGGTGGAGAGCAAGGAAGAGAGGGGGCCGTAGGGTTTGCAGGCCAGTCCCACGGTGTCCCGCAAAGGAAGGTCCCGGTGGCTGACTGAGGTTCAAATCCTGGCCCCCATGTGACCGGGTGTGTGCTGGGATCCTGACAGGATGGAGGAGCAGAGGAGTAAGGATTGCCACGAGGCCATGCCCCACTGGGGGTGCTTCCCCCCACACACTCTCTCTGGTATCTAGACATGTACCCTCTAGCATTATTTTTTTAAAAAAATCTGTATCGGGAACCAGCAGTTAGCGTAATGGCTATGTTGCTGGACTCCCACATAGTCAACCGCGGTTCGTGTCCCGGACCCGGTGGCTTAAAACTCACGCCGGGCGCGTGTGCGTGCGTGCCCAAGATCCCGAGAGGAGAATGGAGGAGAAGGGATTGCGGCGTGACCATCCCCCCTGGGGGGTGATTTCTCGCTTTCTGTCTCTTTTTTTTCGCCGGAGCTCCGGCGCCTTCAGTGAAAATCTCTCAAAAAAAAAAAAAATCTGTATCAGGGCCCAAATTTTATTCTTCTTTTTTTTTTTTTTTAAGTTTTTTATTTGTTTTGAGAGATTTTTCAATTTTTTTTGGAGAGGTTTTTGCTATAGGGCGCATGCACTCGCCAGACAGACAGAGAGATACAGAGAGATAGAAAGCAAGAAATCACCCCCCAAGGGGGATGGCCACGCCTTCTCCTCCATTCTCCTCTCAGGATCTTGGGTACGCACGCACACTCGTCCAGAACTCGAACCATGGTCAACTACATGGGAGTCCAGCAACATAGCCATTATGCCAAATGCTGGTCCCTGTTTTGAGAGATTTTTGCTATAGGGCACATGAGCTTGCTGGAGAGACAGAGACAGAAAGCGAGAAATCAGCCCCCAGGAGGGGTGGCCATGCCACAATTCCTTCTCCTCCATTCTCTCAGGATTTTGGGCACACACATGCACCCAGTATGAGTTTCAAGTCACCTGGTCCGGGACTCAAACAGTGGTCGACCACACAGGAGTCTGACGCTGTGACCACTATGCCACCTGCTGGTCCCAGGGCCCATACACTCTGAGGGAATGGAAAGCCAATGAGCAGTCTGGGGCCAGGGAGACAGGATGGCATTTCTATCTGGAAAGACCCCGCTGGCTGCAGGCAGGGAGACCAGACCCAACCTGGCACCCACGTCTGGAAGGGGGACCACGCGGCTGTGGTGCTGCAGGCTGCCGACACTCTGCATGCCCCCCGGGGCTCCTCCGCTCCGGGACAGCCCTTTGCCCTGGGGCGTGCGCCACCACCTTTCCGCTCAGATGTGTCCATCCAGAACGCCCCTGTCCTCCTCGGACACGTCCTTTAGGCACTTCCTTTTGCGCTTTCGGCAAAGCAGGTTGGCATTTCTTCATCACACAGCACATTCCTGGGGAGACCTCATCCATCCAAAGCTCTGTCCCCAGATGCCCGTGGGACCCAGCCTCTGGCCTGCCCGAGGGCTGGGCCTCCAGGTCTTTCCTTGACCCCTCCTGCTGTGGAGCCAGGGCCTGCGGCTGACCACCAGCTCTCAGCTCTCAGGCCCGGCCAGCTCACCTGCAGCCGCCGCACTCCTGCTCCCCTCCCAAGAGCCACTCAAGGTGTAGATTCCCAGCGAGTGCCATGGGACCCCCTTCTTTGGCACCAGTCACTGAGGCTTTCTGCTGTCCTTCGCGCCTTCCAGGTTGGCCCGCTTCCTACCCATCTCTGTCTCCTTGAATTCACACCCCGAGGGGCCAGGCAGTGCTTGCTGACCGGCCTGCTGTCATCCACTGTCTGCTGCTGTTTTGCAGGTTCGGATTTCGTACTATGGACCCGAGACCCCACCAGTTCAAGCTCTGCTCTACCTCACCGGGGTGGGTAAGTGACGACCAGGATCCTGGAGCTCCCGCCCTCCCCTCCACGCACACCCTGCAGGGCCTCGCTCCAGCAG